GGGGGGAAGGGGGGTCCTCCAGCAGCGGTGTGTCCTCAGGGGAGGTCCTGCCCCAGGGAGGGATGCAGGGATGTTTCCAGCAGGTGCTGTGTTATACTTTCTGAAGGGCCTGCTCCAGTCAGCTACCCTTTCATCAGTGTCCTCAGTGATTGCTTAATGACACAGGGTGTAAAGGAGCAAAGTTAAAATGTAACTAATGGATTAGAAACCATAGCAGATACGATGAAGATTATCTATCGGCAGGGAGCTGGGCCAAAGATACAAGCATTTGGTAGAAAATGGGGAAAACAGGGAAATGGTGAACTCAGGTAACAATTGAAAAATGCAAATTAAACCAGGTTTTTTTGACATTGAGCCAAGGCACAGCTTTTCATGATTACTGACTTGACCTCTTTGTCTCTTCTCGTCCTTGAATGAAGTTTCTGATGCTGTTCAGATGCAGAAAGAGTGGAGCTTTGCGAAGACCCACCCTCTGCTCACCGGCCTGTACCGCAGGGTGGGTGTCGCCGCCCTCAGACCGGATGCCCCCTGCGCCAGGAGGCACTGCTGCCGCGAGCCTCTGTGGCTCCCAGCCCGGGGAGAGAGGCCAGGGGGCTCCGTGGGCCCCGCCATCCACTCCTGGACCCCGGGGGGCCCCGAGACCGGACGTCTTGCTCGGGCAGAGCACCTCCTCACCTGCCCACACGTATCGCCCTGTTGACTCCACGTCGTGTCCGACGGGAAGTGGGACGGAGCTGAGGCCTCACCGCCTGACGAGCGGCTTGTTTTGACACTTCTTTCAGCTCTTCACGATGCTAAGTCCAGAGGAGCTAGTTGGCCATTTGCAGGAAGTTCTGGAAACACACGAGGTGAACTGGCAGCATGTGCTCTCCTGCGTGTCCACACTGGTGATCTGCTTACCCGAGGCGCAGCAGCTGGTTAAAGGTGCACCTGGGTGGGAGCCGTGCGCTGCGTGTGCGTGCGTGTCCTGTAGTTTGTGGGTGAGCCTGTCCGTGGAATGCGGGCTCCGCTCACCGGCCTCGATGGCACCCTGTGTCTTTTTGTCTGTGCCCTTGGTCCGCCTCCCGTGGTGGCGATCTGCTTGCTACAGCCTCCCGTGATCAGTGTTTGGCTCTTGGGGTCACTCGTTACCCAGGCTCTTGAACTGGGCACTGCGCGTGTGTGTTCTCCTGACTGCCGTGCCCTATCCCTGGCGGGACGTCCGCGTTTTCTTTGCCGATGCCCTTGTCTGCCAACTGTGACTGTGGTCGTTCCCTCCTAGATTGGGTGGCCCGATTGCTGACCCGTGCGTTCGAGAACTGCGACCTGGACAGCATGGTCACTGCGTTCCTGGTTGTGCGTCAGGCTGCGCTGGAGGGCCCATCTGTGTTCCCGTCCTATGCAGACTGGTTCCAGGTGAGCTGCCCCCCAGCAGCCACTGGTGGGTCTCTGACTCGCCGTCCTAGGAACAGACGCACTCTGTGGGTCAGGTCTGTTCCTCTCCCCGCCCTCCCCCCGCCGGAGCCCCGTGCTGCTCTGTCTGGGCTTTGCTCCCTCCTCTCATGGCCTCCTTGCCTGCCCAGTCAGGTCTCCGAGCACGGGAGTGCGGTCAGGAAACCAGGAAAACAAATGTGCCCGCTGCTCTTGGCACAGTGTGCTCATCCCAGAAGGGTGCCCCTCACCTTCCGCGGGGTCTTCTCTTTGTTTCCACCACATCTGTGCAGCTGTGCACAGCCTGCCGAGTCTCGCCTCTGAGAAGGCATCTTCCAGACATCAACTTTGAAGGTTGGGTGTGTGTAAATCTGTCATTTAAAAGGCTATCTAATTTGGGCGCCTGCGTGGCTCAGTCAGTTAAGTGTCTGACTTCAGCTCAGGTCATGATCTCAAGGTTCGTGAGTTCGAATCCCACTTCGGATGAGCTCACACCCTGGGTGAGCCCCGCTTCTCTCTCTACCCCTCCCTTACTTGCACCCCCCCCCCAAAAAAAGCTATCTCATTCTTTGTTGAGGTTTTGGGTTTTCTTGCCATGCTGCCGGGCTGGTGTAGTTGGTGGTGGTTTGTGGGGAGCGCATCTTCCTCCAGTTCTGAGCATTAGCTGCACCTGCACAGACACCCGGAGAGCCTGGCTTGGCCCCTGCCTGGGCCATTGGTACAGCACGGTGGTTGTGGCGTTCTTTCTTTGTTCTTTTATTCCTTGGAGCTGATTCCGGTCAGCCCTGTGCTCCCCCAGCAGTGGGCTGTCGGCCCAGGAGCACCCACGGGACGCACATGGGGCTGTTGGCAGTGTCCACAGCCAGGGGACCCTTTGTGGTCACACTGGCCTGTTTCCTGTGTCTGCTGTGCCTAGGTGATTCGGTCACAACCAGGTATCCCCTGACCTGGGTTTTGCCCACTTCTCAGGACAACACATGGACAGGAATGCTTGGGAAGTGCTGTGTTGATTGTGTGTTTTTTGTTTTTTTGTTTTGTTTTTCCTTTTACCTTTTAAATAAAGTTTATGGAGATAGAATTTACATAAAATGTACCCAATTTAGGTGAATGTTTGTGTGAGTTTGACAGATGTTTAAGTGTATGTTCAGTGTTTAAAGATCTGTTTTAATCTTTATTTTCAAGAGTGTTAATGTAAATAGGCCAATGTGATGATTTTAAATTTGAGCCCTTTGGGGTCCTGAATTACGGTTCTTAGCTCATCATGGTATGTACTTAGATGTAATTTTTCTAATGAAAAAAACTTTTTTCTCTGAAGTGACACTAAATGCTGTTGTAACCCCAGATTCGGAGGTGTGTGTGTTATTTTAGGTACTTGACATAAATACTTCGAATAAGCTGTGGGTCTCCTCTGGTGGCTTTTTTTTTTTAATTTTTAAATTTTTTTACTTGTTTCTTTATGTATTTATTTAGAGAACATCTTTGAGCAGGGAACAGGCAGAGAGAGAGAGAGCAAGAGAGAATTCCAAGCAGGCTCCACACTGTCAGCATGGAGCCCCATGTGGAACTCAGACCCTCGAACTATGAGATCATGACCTAAGCCAAAATCAAGAGTCAGACGCTCAAGTGACTGAGTGGTGGCTTGTTTTTATTCCTGTTTCCAGGGTGTCATTGAGGCTCACTCTTGATTTGAACGGATGTTGCCAAGGGTCGGTAACCCTTCTGTGTAGACAGACACCTTAGAGGAGGGAGTTGGTGGCCCTGTACTTGGGTGGTACCTGAATAGTGATGTGGGGGCAGTCCTCAACTGACTCAGCCCTCAGGCACCTCTGTTTCCTAAATTCCACATATGGGTGAAATCAGATGGTATTTGTCTTTTCTGACTGACTTATTTTGCTTAGGATAATACGTTCTAGCTCCATCCACGTCTTTGCAAACGGCAGGATTTTATTATTTTTGATGGTTCAGTAATGTTTATGGTGTATGTACCACATCTTCTTTATCCACTCATCATTCAGTGGACATCTGGGCTCTTTCCATAATGGCTGTTGTAGATAATGCTACTGTAAACATTGGCGTGCACGTACCCCTTTGAATGAGTATTTTTGTAGCCTTTGGATAAATAACCTAGTTGTGTAATTGGTGGGTAGTAGGGTAGTTCTATTTTTAACTGTTTGAGAAACCTCCACACTGTTCTCCAGGGCGGCTGCACCATTTTGCATTCCCACCAGCTGTGCAAATTGTTCCCCTTTTCTCCACGTCCTCTCCCACACCCATTGTTTTTTGTGTTGTTAATTTTAGCCATTCTGACAGGTGTGAGTTAGTATCTCATTGTAGTTTTGATTTGCATTTCCCTGATGATGAGTGCTGTTGAGCATCTTTTCATGTGTCTGATGGCCATTTGTATGTCTTTGTAGAAAGGTTTGTTCACGTCTTCTGCCCATTTAAAAAAAAAATTTTTTTTAACATTTATTTATTATTGAGAGACAGACACAGAGCGTGAGCAGGGGAGGGGCCGAGAGATGGAGAGACACAGAATCTGAAGCAGGCTCCAGGCTCCTAGCTGTCAGCAAAGAGCCTGATGTGGGGCTCAAACTCACGAACCAGGAGATCATGACCTGAGCCCAAGTCGGATGCTTAACCGACTGAGCCACCCAGGTGCCCCTTTTCGTCTATTCTGAATAGAGTACATGAATAGAGTATCCCTTGCTGGATAGAGTATTCTTGGTTGAAGAATTTTCCCTTTCAGCACTTTGAATATACCAAGCCCCTCCCTTCTGGCTTGGAAAGTTTCTGCCGAAAAATGTTCTGAAAGCCTTATGGGGTTTCCTTTGTATGTAGCAGTCTTCCTCTGTTATGGTTCTTTTAAAATATTTTCTTTCTCACTATATTTCGCAAATTTAATTACAATATGTCTTAGTGTGGATCTGCTTTTGTTGATTTTGATGGATCTTTTACGTGCCACTTCGATCTGGTTATCTATTTCCTTCCTTAGATTAAGGGTATTTTCAGCTATTATTTCTTCAAAGAAATTCTCTGCTCCCTTTTCTCACTCTTTTTCTTCTGGGACTCATTTAATGCTAATGTTACTACATTTGAAGGAGTCACTGAGTTCCCTAAGTCTGTTCTCCCTAAAATGTTGCATAATTTTTCTTTCTCTCTTTTGTTGAGTTTCGTTGCTTTCCATTACTCTGTCTTCTAGGTCATTGATTCATTCCTCTGCTTCTTCCAGCCTGCCCTTCATTCCATCTAGTGTGTTTCTTTCTTTCTTTTTTTAAATTTAACCCTTTATTTCTGCTGTGTTATTCCTTATGTCTGTGTTAATGATCTCACTGATGTCCTCCACTCTTTTCTCAAGTCCCGTGAGTATCCTTAGGATTGTTGCTTAAATTGGCCATCAGCCATGTTACTTACAGTTGCCTCACTTCGATCTCCAGCTGTGGTCTTGTCCTGTCCTTTCATTTGGAACAGATTCTTTTGTCTTCTTATTTTGTCTAAGTCTCTGCACCTACTTCTGTGTGTTAGGAAAGTCAGTCTCCTGATCTTGAGGGTAACGGCCTTCTGAAGAGGTCCCGGACTGCCCTTCAGTGTCATGTCTCCTGTCCCCAGGGCGCTCAGCAAGTGTCCCCAGTGTGTGCAGCGTGTCCTCTGCTGTTGTGTCCTGGCTGCTTTATCCTTCAGGCCAGTTGTCTGCAGAGGCTCTTTGCCTCTTGTGGGCGGTGATTGGTCTGAATGTGGCGCGTTTTAAGTAGCGGTGCTCTGGTCTGCTTGTGAAATGAGATGTGGAAGCGAGGCCTCGCAAAACTCTCTGGCGGCGAGACAGCGGTGTGAGCAGGGTTTTGGGCCGGTCTTCTGGGGGAAGGGGGCCTGCCGGGAAGGGCAGCTGCGCTGGAGCGTGTGGCGGGGGTGACGGGGTGGGAGGGCGGGGGTTGAGCGTTTGGTGTGAGCAAGTTAGGAAGCAAGTGGTGCCCGACTCCGCTGGTTCCCGCAGGCGTCCCTGTGCCTGTGCTGAGGGGCGGGAGGGAGGTGGCGCCTGTCAAGTCTTTGTTCCTGGAGGGGGTCTCTCTGTGAGTGGTCTCTCTGGGCCCAGCCCTCTGAGATGAGCAAATCACCTCGCCCTGTGTGCTCCGGGGGCTCTTCAGGTCTCTTCAGATCATGGTTTCCATGGCTCCGGTCCCTGGGCTGTTTGCCTGCCTTCTCTCCAGGAGCAGCACAGTGCCCTCCGGGCTCTCCCTGAGCCAGGCCCCTGCGCTTTAGAACTCTAGGCCTGAAGCCCTGCTGATTGCAAGAACTTGAATGGGCCCTCTCGCTTTCCTAGCCAGTTGCTGTGGGGCTCCGTCTTCCCGTGAGCTCCCCTGTGTGCATTCTGTCCTCACCCTTCCCCGCAGAGGCGGCTCCGTCCCAGCACAGTGGCCGTCATCTGTTTCTCTCCCAAAGCACATCTCTTCTCGTTCTGCCGGTCTTCAGGTTGATTTCTGGGGCACTTGGGATGATTTGATAGTTACCTCGTTGTGTTCGTGGGACGAGGGGAGTCTCGGGCCCTCCTACTCCGCCATCTTCCCCGTATCTGGTGGCTTTTTGTGTCTGCCTGTCTGTCTGCGCCCTCCTCCCACACAGGTATGTTGTGTGCTCTGACAGAAGTGCTCGGCTGGCCTCCCGCCACAGGAGCAGTGGCTGCATAGTTCTGGTGGGCTGGGCTGGGGCAGGACACGGTGTGGCTGGGTGTTGGGTTCTCTTGGCAGAGGCTCACTGGCTCTTCGGGTCCATTGGCCGTTCTGGAATTCCCGACACTCCCTGGGAGTCCTCGGTTCCCTCCCAGGAAAGCTGGGTTCGGTGTCCTGAGGAGTTGTCCTCCTTGGCCACTTCCCCTGCGGTGACATTGTCTCCTCACAGAAGAGTGAGAGTTTCTGTGTGTTCATCATGTGGCTTCATCATGTAGAATGTGTATGTTTAGGAAAGGGTCCTTGTTAGGGGAGCTAATGCACTGTGCCTCCGAGGGCCACAAACAGATGCCACAGTTACTGTTTTCTATAGGAATGTGTATATATGGTACTATTTATTTATTTATTTTATTTCAGAGGAAGCTGGAGTGGGGACAGAGAGATGGGGGGAGAGAGAATCCCAAGCAGGCTGTCTGCGTTCAGTGCAGAACCTGACTTGGGGCTCGATCCCACAACTCTGGGATCATGACCTGAGCCAAAACCAAGAGTTGGACATTCAACTGACTGAGCCACCCAGGTGCCCCTATAGGAATGTATTTTTTTTTAATTTTTTAATGTTTATTATTTATTTTTGAGAGAGAAAGAGCACAAGCGGAGGAGGGGCAGAGAGAGAGGGAGACACAGAAACCAAAGCAGCTCCAGGCTCTGAGCTGTCAGCATAGAGTCTGATGCGGGGCTTGAACTCACGAACTGCGAGATCATGACCTGAGCCCAAGTCAGACACTTAACTGACTGAGCCACCCAGGTTCCCCTAGGAATGTATTTTTACCTTTTCGTTTTAAAGTTTTTTTTTTAATGTTTATTTACTTTTGAGAGAGAGAGAGAGACGAAGTGTGAGTGGGGGAGGGGCAGAGACCAAGCGAGACACAGAAACCAAAGCAGCTCCAGGCTCTGAGCTGTCAGCACAGAGCCCGACCCGGGTCTCGAACTCACGGACATCATGACCTGAGCTGAAGTCGGCCGCTTAACCGACTGAGCCACGCAGGTGCCCCATAACTTGTCGTTTTAAATAACCCCTTAGCCCGTCTCTTCAGCCAGGCAGAGCCATAGCGTAAGATTTCAGGGCCCCAGGCGGCTCTGTTTCCCTTTCATTGCAGTTGAGTTTCTGTTTCTGTGGCGGAGGCACGGCAGCCGCCAGGCGCCGTGTGACAGATCGGTGTGTGGCGGGCACAGCCCCTCGTGGAGCCGGCCACCTGGCCCTCATGCCGGCCTCTCCCTCCAGGCCTCCTTTGGGAGCTCAAGGGGCTCCCACTGTTGCAGCAAGAAGACGCTGGTCTTCCTCTTCAAGTTCCTGTCAGACCTCGTGCCCTTTGAGGCGCCCCGGTACATGCAGGTGAGTGCAGTCCCAGCCGCCCGGGCGTCCCTCCTCCGTGCAGGCCTCAAAGGAGGGAAGTCATCGTGCCCTGGGCACCGGGGCCACGTTCGGGACGGTCGATTGCCCGGGAACCAGCCTGTGCGTGTCGCTGGCAGGTGGTCGGTGAGCGCGGTGTCGCGTGCAGAGGGTGGGGCGGGTCTGTTGCGGGCACAGGAGGGTGTCCCCAGCCCCCGCTCAGCGGGAGGAGCACGTGCACGTGTGGTCCAGCCCCATGTGTGTGCTTTTAAAATGATACGTCTTTTTTCGTCCCTCTCTCTCTGTCCCTCTTCTGCTCATGCTCTATCTCCTCCTCTCTCTCTCTTAAAAATAAATAAACGTTAAGAAAAATTAAAAAAGAGTCTTAAAATAGGTATTTTTTCTTTTCTGTTCTTTTTGTAGCTTCAAGTTTTATTTAAACTCCGGTCAGTTACCATATAAAATGATACATTTTTATATCAAGGAAGAACCGGAAGGATATACCCCAAAGTGC